CTATATTCACTTGATAAAGTGTTTAACTGTGTAGTACTGCTATTGCAAAAAGAATACAATTGACAGTATTAGTGATAACAGAAGTGTAGATCTCTTCTCTAGAATTCTTCTTAAGTCAGTTATTACAAATCACTTAATATAATTTTCTAAGAATATCATCAGAATTAGTATTTAAATTCACAGATCTATCTTTCTTAAGAAACACTCAATAATCTGAAGCAATCAGTTCATCTTTCAGAACATCAGATCTAGAGATTAAATTTCATATATTATATTTCTTCAGATCAGTAATCTTATGTTGTATAAACTTCTTTCAATAATCTTCTACTCTTTCTAACTGAAATGTGACATTCTTATAGAACTTCAGAAGGTTATCTGTAATAAGACTTAAAGTGTAAGTAGTCAGTGATTTCGCGGGTCACAATTATGTAGAATTCAGATTATCAATGTTAGAGACATCTTCATCATCAATCAGATAAATATCAGGCTTCAGTTCAATAATATAATTAATAAGTTTCACAGATGTAATAATCAGTTTTTCAGTGATTGAGAATCTCATATTACTACTGACAATAATCTTGTCAGATTCAGAATATCATAGACAATATATTGATATATCACTGAATTCAATGATATAATAGAAATCAGCATGTGAAGAAAGCTTATTCACAGACTGCTGAAATTCATGTAAGTGAATAAAAATCTCTGCACTCAATCAGTGAAAATGTCTCATATTCAGCAGAATATTCATAAGTGCATATTAAGAAATCTTATATGAACTTGAAATTATAGAAGTCTCTGTAGTAGAGAATTAAAATTTCAAGTTATAAAGAACTGTAGATATGAGAGTATTATTAATTATTATAATCACTGTCTCTAGAATATCTGCTCAGAACTTCTTAGAAAAATTATCTTTCAAAAGAGCAGCTCTAACTCATTTCATGATAGTGTGAATTTCATATTCAGAAACATTATTCTGATGTGATGAATATACTACTGTTAATTTTCATTTAATGTCATATGAATTCATAACTATATGTATACATGTGAATTGAAAAACATCATTAATATCAGTCTGTAGAAAAGCAGGAACTGTATACTCAAGATTACTCATGAATCTGAGTCATAACTCAAAGTATTGAACAGTCTCATTCTTGAATTTTAAAAAATATACTCAACAGTAGCAGGTCACATCACAGATGATAAGCATTCAGTATTTAATTTTCTGATGAAACTCTAAGAGATGATCAGAGAGATCTTTCAATATATATTCATTATCTATAAGATTAATATGAATCTTCTCAATGAGTTGAATAGATCTAGACATTGATGTTTTTAAATAATCTTATATCATATCTGTCTTGACACATTTCTTATAAAAGAACTTAGTCTTAGAATCTTTAATTATGACTTCAGTATGGAAATTCTTGATTATAGCAATTATAGCATCAGTGTGAATATGACTGAGATTACAGTATCAGTTCAAAAAAGTCTTTGATATTCTTGTATTCTTGAGACCTGTATTCAGAACTGTAGAATCAATGTTATCAACAGTAGTAGCAGCAGTTACAGAAAGATTAACTTTTTAATTAAAATCATACTTATATAACATTGCAATATACTTGACTGTCTTATTTAGATAATTGAAATTCTCATTGAACTTCTGTTCATTAATCTTATATATGTTATTCTGAGCAGTCTGAACTGCATGAAAAATAACACTGTTTAAGACTCTGCAAATGAAAAATGAGAGAATAGTGAAAGATAATATAAATCAGAATCTCTGATCTTCAAGCTTTGTAAATAAGAGCAGATTAACTGTAATATTAGAAATATAGTAAATATTCTGTAAGTTAATATCATCACTCTCAATCTTTAAGATGACAGTCTTAATCTTCTTAATAAACTCAGTTTTCTCAGTCACAGAATTGACAGAGATATTATCATTAAAAGATTTAATATTTGAAAAAGAATGAAGCTCATCTATCATATTCAGACTTATATATATGTTCAAATATCAAGATCTAGAGAATGATTTTTCAGTAACTGTGAAAGAGAAATAGAACTTAATCTTTGTAATTACTGTATTTACTGCTGATTAAGAACTTATTAAGTTATTCTTTTTCTCTTTCTTCTTATCATTCTTCTTTTTCTTTTTATCAGAGTGTAAGATAAAATATCTGTCAACAGTATATTCATATCTTCTACAGTGAGTATACTTTCATACAGATGTACTTTTATTCTTATCTTTATTCTTATCTTTATTCTTATCTTTATTCTTTTTCACAGTCATAGAATTAATCTGAGACTGCTTTTTTCACTCAGTGATAATCTTCTTAAATATATGATTAATCAGTTACTTCATTAAATTATTAATATTAATATTAACAATAAGTTTCTGATCAGTGAAGAAAAACTCATTCAAATATATCTTAATAAACAGTCTTTGATAATCTTGTAGATTATTAAGAAAAAGATTATAATATATATTCTCAGTACTCTGACAGAGCTTCTTATAATAGATAATAAAATAGTAGAAATATCTCTGAAAAGTAAGATAATTATTCTTCTTAACTTATAATTTTATTAATTTCTTAAAGATATTAACTCATTCTTCTATCAGTGATATTATATATTCAATATTAATCTTATCTTACAGAGCTATAGTATTATCAGCTTTCAAGATTTTAATAGTAATTTAAACATTTTTAATAAGACTTAATAGTATATATCTATATAGAGACTTGAAATGAATTCTTCACTTCTCAGAGTTAATATAATATATAAAAGAGAATTCTTATTAAATTCTTAATAAAATATTAGTTTTATTAATAACTTCTATATTAGTTAATATATTAATATATCAGACTTTATAATTAGAGTTATTAAATATAGTTACTGATTTAATATCTAATATATATTTAACTTTCTTCTAATATTTCTATAACTTATTTCTTATAGTGTCTCTTTATACAGAGATAGATATAGTAAGATATTAAGTAATTTCAGTCACAGTTATTTAATTCTATAGTATTATCTGTATAAAATTTATAAGATTATCTGTAATATAATAAATAGATTAATTCAGATCATCATTAAAAGTTAACATTTCAGAAATAAGAGATAATAAAAATTTAAAGAGTTAAAATAAACAGATTCTATAGATAAATATTAACTCTGTTTTCTCTTATTCTGAAGCTTCTTTATTATCTTATTATCAAATTTCATACTCTAGTAAAAACTGATCTCAGTTTTATTTTATAAGTCAGAAGCCTTCTCATAATAAGTGATTATTCTATTAATAAGTTATTTAGTAAAGTGTGTGATTCTGAGTCTTGAGCTGAACTCTGAAGTAACAGATATATTACTTATATTAAGATAACTCTGCTTCTTTTAGATATAAAAAAAGAGTGATATTCTTCACAATGAAGAACATACTTTCTTAAAAATATAAAGTATATAAATCTGCTGATTAGCAGATTCAGAAGAAATAAAATATCTCTAATAAAGAGTGAGAGTCTTTTCAAAAAAGATAAACTATTCATATCAAAAAATATTGATATAATGTTCTAAAAAGAAAAACATGCCATTCAGGCTATAATCTGTAGAATAGTTGAAGATTGTATTGATAGATCTATCTACAGGAACATAATATAGTGGTGGGTCACGTGATCTAGTGGGATCGCTAACCGCAACGGCCGTAAGGGCCAACATACTATTAGTTCGACAGCATTGAATGAACAGATTTATCAAATTCCAATTGTCCGCTCTCCCTATATAATTTGCGTGCGAGGGCACAATCTAGCCACCACCATGGATTGGAGTCCCAGCGGAATAGCGACCACCCTTCTCTCCGGCAACCTAATTGCCATTCTCGTTACCTGCACCATTGCCCTCTCGCTCCCTGTCGTCTTCCATATTCTTCTCTACCAAACCTCACCCGCAAAGGACTCAAGGGATTTCTTGCTCCTGGGTCCTAGCGGGTCAGGCAAAACAGCCTTATGCTCACTCGTATGTACAGCGCCCCGGTTCCAAGTTTTAAACCCATATAGCACAGCATATACGTGAAATCTTGATAGCTAACAGTGTATAGTTGCAACAACGCTCGATATCATCCTCTTCTCCGAAACCACCTCGAGAAACACATACCTCCCAAGTTTCATCCTTTGTCCACATAACTCTCCCGCCAACTGTCCCTATTGGCTCCAACAAATATCGCTCAGTCAATGACCCGACTCTCGGAGAAGCTACAAAGAACCCGATTACATATCGGCTCCGAGATACCCCTGGCCATGGCAAACTCCGTGCATCCCAGGGCATCGCTTCATTGTTGTCCCTCTCAGATCCTAAAAGGAAAGGCTCTGTTGGGATCCGTGGAGTAATCTTCATGTTGGATTCCGCTGCCCTATCACAAAGCGATAAAACGCTACGGGACACCGCTACCTACCTACACGATGTGCTCATTACGCTACAGAACCGAGTGTACAAGAACGGGAAGAGAATATCATCATCATCTTCTAAAAAGACACCTAAGATTCCCGTCCTGGTCGCTGCGAATAAGCAAGATTTATTCACCGCCCTGCCGCCGGGTTCAATAAAGGCGAAGATGGAGTCCGAACTTGAGAATATCAGAGTCTCGAAACGGCGAGGGTTGTTGGATGTGAGCATGAATGGCTTGTCTGCAGAAGAGGAGCCGGATATGCTAGGTGGGGACGAAGAGGAAGGGCCTTTTACTTTTCAGATGCTAGATGAGCAAATGGGGATTGAAGTTGACGTTATGGGGGGTGCTGTGTTGAACGATGATGAAACGGATCGTGGGGGTGGGATGCGGCGTTGGGAAGAGTGGATTGGGATGTGCTTATGATGTGCTTGTTATGCACGAGGTATTGCGCAGATCATGAACTCGGTTCCCATTTTTATTTTCCATTCGACATACCCTCTAGCCGGGGTCTTTCCTATTTTTTGTTGCTGATGATATCGATCAATCTCCTCATCTACCCCGCCATCGTCATGAAAAGAGAGTGCATATGTGTATGCCCCGGCAAAATGAAATTTGGGTATATTTCGCGGCCGGAAATGGAAATAGCTCTTCAACTTAGGATCATGATGAAGACGGCCCAGACCATGCAATTCCCATCCATGTCTAGGAACAAGGCATACGTGAAGTCCTCATCATGAGTTACCTGCCAATATAAAATCGCCCAACACAGTTGCTCCTTGCCTGTCCTCTCTGAGTTGGATAGAAAAGAGGATGCTCCTGATATCCGTCAACAAATTCCCTCGGAAATGCCATTTCTTTGCCAACCATCCCCCAACACCTCGGCAACCTTCCTGTCAGTCCAATCCTACAAAACAGGAAAGAAATGAAGTAATCAGTCGGTTAGTCATTAACAACAGCTCCTCCGAAACCCGCTCTACAATGCCACAATGTCGCCCACCGCTACCAGAGAATAAAAAAAAGAAAGAAACAGAGAAATCACGTCGAACCACTCACCCACAGTTGCCTCGCCAGTTCCATATCGCCTGCCATACGACTGGTCTCATCCCTCTTCGCAACCGGCACAAAATACTGGCCCCTCACTCCACCACCTGCAGCAATATCTCCACTAGCTGCCAAATAAAGCGCTGTCCCCACCGCATCCTGAATGGACTGCCCAGCCACGGAGAAAAACATTTCAAATGCCTTGCCCACTACGGTACCTAGATATCCTCTCCAGATCTTCATATGATCCGTGGCGATTTTTCCGGGGAAGAAGCTCTTGACATAGATGTGTTTAGTCGTTTCGTCATTGGCACCATTGCCGTCCACCACGCTCCGATTATACCTGCCGCTCTCACTATTCGTCGCAGCCGCTAAAACCTCACTAAGTCCCCCTTCCATGAGTCTCCTGCTAACATGGCACGTGAAGAGAATATTTGCCAGCTTAAAGCGGCCGTAGCGCCAGATACCATCATAACATGCGCTCTTGGTTGGAGATCCTTCGGATGGCGTGAGAAGGTTGAGGTCTAGTTCGCGGCAGAGGCTGTGGAGGGATGATGTGGTGAAAACGATGCAGGTGGAGGTGGCATCTGGGAAGCGGGTGACTGTGGAGTGAAGGAGGGGAAGGAGGAGGACGGTTAGGATGTGGTGGCCGACGTGGTTTGTGGCGAAGATGGACTCAATTGATTTGGGAGAAACTGGGGTCATACGTGTGTGTGGAGGTGAGTCAATGGGAGGTCCCGTTTTTCAGATTTGATGATATATTAATAATATATATCTTCGTAGGTGATCCCGGGTAATAGAGGAAAGTTTTTCAAAAAGGCGCCTTATGTTTATCAGAAGAAAGAGGGGTTAAGGGGCTGAGTTCTCATACCAGCATTGCATACGAGAATATCCAACCTATCAGCCCTCCCCCGAATATTCCACGCCGCCCTCCTTACCTATACCATATCTCCCAAATCGCATTGGATAAACTCAGTTCTCTGCATCTCGCACCAGTCTCCAGCTGAATATGCGGGTTCCTCTTCCAGATATCGACGGTAGCGTCATATTTGTCTCGTCTGCGACTAAAGTATATATAGCTTCGCGATGCCATAGAGGAGAAGCTGCATGCTTATCCATAGAGAGATGTTTTTTTAAATATATATATATATATATATATATATATACATCTCAGCAACGTCAAAGTGTTGGATTAGGATATGGGATGGATGAATAGTAGATAAATGAGTACAACAATCGAACTGAAGAGAAAATTTAGAAATCGAACTTTCCTTGTCCAATGCCTGATTGACCTCCCTATTGGGATATGCGTAAAATAATAGCCGTCGACCACAATCGTTAATTGTCTATTGCCTATGGATTAGATGTTGTATCATAGATAGTTGTGCAGATAGATACCCTAGCCACTGCGACCACACGAAACGGGGCTTACAGTGATAATCACAGCCTTCCCATGAAGGTCTGGAACTTGAGATAATGAGAACCTCCGGGATGTAAATATACCTGTCATCTTCGACGTGTTCTTCTTTCAATTAACGGTTTGTGCAGCATCTTCGTTTGTAGATATAACTTACAGTGTATGTATGTACTTGAAGTTGCGTGGTTCAGTTATACGGCGTATGAGGCGGATATACTCATTTAAGCTAAATAAACATATTGGGAAAGCCACCCTTGCATGAAGCAAGCTGACGGGTTGACATTGAAAATCAGGAGCTTGAAAATAAGTAGAAATTCCCATGGATATTCGATGTTGAATTATATAGAATCTATCATGCTACATTAATAGCCAGAGGTAATTAAGTCATCGTCATATCTCCAGGGGTTTGTTATGTTGAAAACAGGTTGGAGCCTCACCACCTTTTTGATGTCGACATCATGGCGCAAATTCTATCTAAAGAAAGCCCGAAGACCTGACTGACTTGCCATAGGAATGGAGAGAATAAAATACCCAAAACTCAAACACCAGAGCGGCCACCGATGGTTACAGACTAAGACAAATCAGCCTTGCACTTTACTCTGGTGTAACAGCCAGGTCAGTAAATCCACCTTGGTAGCCACAGCCACCGGCTTCATAGCTCCGCTTTCATCCTTCTCCGTAACAACAGCGGCACTGTTCCATTCGAAAAAACGCTTTAATGCGCTCAGCGGAGTTTCTAGCGTTATTTCAATAAACTGGCGACGCTTCTCTGCGCCCGGCTCAGATTCAGAACGTCCCGTCGAGCCAGCGAGGAGTTCTGGAGCAGACCGTGAGATATCTCTGGGATCTGTTACTACCTCTGACAACTTCGAGAAGTCAAACATCACATCGGAAACGGGACTGCTGCTCGTAGCTCTTCCGTGAGAAAGGCGGCTGAGGATATTTCCGAGAGTTACAAGACCAACCAAACGTCTCCCCGTAGGGGCAAGCACGGGTAATTGATCGAAGCTTTTTTCTCTCATTACCTCGATGGCGGCTTCGCATGTGGAATTTGATAGGATTGTAGTAACTGGCTTTAATCTGAGCGCCTTAACTTTGGCCCCTGAGAATGGATCCTTTGGACCGCGTGGTTGCAACTCCGGTGATGGAGGCTCCGTCGGCGGGACCTCTGGAAGTAGATCATTCGCCGCAAGCCAGTCATCATCCGCAAACTAAAGGGTAATCAGTACCATTCATATCGACACCACATCCTAGGGCATAATGTAAAAAAGGAAATACCTTGGTCAGATAGCTTCGAATGCTATCAGGGAGAACAACAACGATAACGTCATCCTGAGTAAAATTGAAGTCTTTGGCTGCCTTTGCAAGACCGGCAATCGCACTTCCACTACTCCCACCAACGAGAAGGCCCTCTTCAGCTATCAGCCGTCTGGCATACTGGAACGACTCCCTGTCACCCGTCTTATACCATTTGTCAATAGTACTACGGTCCAGCACATCAGGAATGAAGTCGTAACCGATGCCTTCCACCTTGTATGGCTCGTTCATGTGCTCCTCGTTCAAAATTTCCGGTAACGCGAGGACGGAGCCGTGAGGGTCCGCCGCAATGACTTTGATATTGGGATTGTACTTCCTTAGACCACGGGCAACGCCAGTAATCGTACCACCTGTCCCCGCTCCTGCTACCACAGCCTTGATCTTGCCTTCAGTTTGGGTCCATATTTCCTCCGCTGTGCCATATTCGTGCGCGAGTGGGTTATCTTCATTTCCATACTGGTCTAAAATGTGGGCGTTTGGTAATTCCTTCTCCAATCGCTTTGCGACACCGATGTGAGATTCTGGAGAGTCGAAGGCGGCTTCTGTTGGTGTTCGGATAATTGTGGCACCCAATGCACGCAGAACGGAAACCTTTTCAGCGGACATCTTCTCTGGGAGAGTGATTATAGTTTTATAACCTGCCGGTGTATAACGTAAACCGTTAGAGAGCTGGGACAACCGATCGACAGAAGGAGTACACGCGACTCAGGATTACAACTCACCTTTCACTGCAGCAACAAGAGCAAGTCCAATACCCCTAATCACCAATTGTAGTCAGTCAACCGATCTTAATCCAATTGGCTCCAGCCAACATGGGCATATCCGGTTATCACTCACGTATTTCCACTTGTAGGCTCAATCAGCGTATCACCTGGCTTTATTCTTCCCTTGCGCTCGGCCTCCTCAATCATGCGCAGTGCAATCCGATCTTTGACACTACCCCCCGCATTGAAGTATTCCAATTTAGCATAAACAGTCGCTTTGATACCCAGACTCTTGGGCACCTTGTTGAGGCGGACTAGCGGGGTATTGCCGATTTGTTGCGTGATGGATTCCATCACCACTGGAGGGTTCGTTTTGGTAGACATTGTCGCGGGGTGTAGATATGAGTGGACAATGAAACTGAGAGAGAGAGAGAAGGGCGAGAAGTAACGGAGGACGGAAAAAGTAAAGAAAAAGGTAGAATAGTTAGAGCGAGGTATGCCACCTTAGGTGAAGCAGGGCGGGTGTTGCCGATAATAACGGAGGTGTTTTTTTCGGCCTTCAGCAAAACTTCAGATGGGGCCGGACTGCCCTAGCTCGCCGATGCAAACCGCTTTGTGAAGTCAAGCATGAGAAAAGTATGTAAGAGGGGAACTCCAACATCTCAACAAGGTCATAATATTTCTAGAAAGGAGATAAAGATAAATCACTGCGACTGAATGCCTATACGTGGTCATCCTGAATTAAATGTATGTGGTGATGTGGCAATGCTCGCTTTTTCACAACTTTGTCTGAGCTAAAAAGGCTATTTTGAAGGCATATTATTGAAGGGTGTATGTGGAACTTCAACGATTTCATTGATATCAAATAAGTCACTCGGAATGAGTTAAATACATGGATACAAATTTGCGGTCCTTCTACCGCACATCGGATGCTGCTCAGCTCTATGGTCAACCAGCCGATACAATCTAAGATACTAACCCATCAATGAATGCCAGTAGGTCCTGAAGAAGTTGTTCACGATGCGTGATATACAGGCCTGTCAAGGGACGAAATTGATTAGCAAAGGAGGGATACAAAAGATGAAATACCAATTACAACATTGGTTGGAAATAAAAGAATGAGACAAATGATTCACGCACCATGAGCACCCGACTCATACTTCCTGGCCACCGTCCTGGGAATCATATCCTTGATGATTTGGGTGCTGGACTCATAGGGACAACCCATGTCCTGATCTCCATGAACGCACATGATGGGAACATCAGTTTCCGCACCAAGTTTTCGCAAGCGGTCCGTGAAATCCACGCTCGTGATGATCTGGACACAGCGCTCGATGGCGAGGGAATCGGCCTGGGCAACAATGCCTTCCACCCGGCGGAGCGTGCATTCTGATACTTTGCGGTCTGACGAGAGTACAGCTAGTGATAGCGGGAGAGCTTCATGGGTGTAATCAGCCCGTGAAGCACGGAATCCTTCGACAATCGATCCCCACACCTCGCGCGATGGTGCCGTAGGGTTTTCCGGAGTGTTCAGGGGAAATGGAAGTGCGGGACCTATCCAGAAGAATCCCTATATATATCGACCGTCCGTTCGGTGTTAGTGAAATTATCGTAAAACTTGCTAATTGCTAATGGGAATGTTTCGACATACCTTGCAGTTACTTCTGACATATTCGCTGCGCTCGTACGCCAGCAGAGTTTCTCCTGGGCCCATACTGGCTGCCACAAATACAAAAGGCCGGATATCAAGTTTCTCCAATAGATAGACCGTGTCCTGAGCGAAGACGTCATAGTCTATCTGCTCCTTGCCCGGTTCGGCACCGTTCCAGTCACTCTGACCGAAACCACGGCGATCAGGGGCAATGCATCTGAATCGATAAGTCTCGCAAAGGGGCAGAGTCTGTTGCTCAAACATCAGCGAAGACATTGGCCATCCATGGATGAATACCAGTGCGGGCTTCTGTTTGCCTGCATAGGTTTTGTCCACTCTGAATGGCGGGGGATTGCTTGTAGGTTGGTAATCCCTATAGAAGAGCTCGGCTCCGTCAAAAGGGCTGGTGAAGCGAGGCATGTTAAGGTAGCAATAAAAGCAATAGATGATTATTTGGTATTCTCTGGGTGCTGGAAATCGTTTTGATACTGAATTACTCGTCAGCTTTGTGAGGAAACAGGGGCGATATCAGCAGCGGTGTGGAGTTGGCTTTCATAATATATTCTTGCGACGATGTTAAATACAAAATATAACGAGCGCAACTGTTGGCTTTCGTTATTTAAGGTCATGTTTCAGGCAGATGCCCATGTGTATTTTGCACGTCAACTCTTTGGCAAGCACCAGTTGGTTCCCCGCGCAGTAGTTAAATATACGAGATTCCGTCCTCACACCTCATAACGTTATGGCTAGAAAGACCAGTACGGAAGACTTTTCACCATAGAAACTCTCAACCACCACAACAAAATTGTGGATTTGGTGGCTTAAGGGATACGAGCGATGATGTGATAGAGTTCTTCTGTTGAAATATGCAAAGGTTGAATGGAGTCAAAGGCTGTCGGTAGTTAAAGAATTGGTTTCTGGTTGTTCATTCATTTCAACGCTCAAGTATGAGTTGATTGATAGCACAAGAAACTGCTGACTTTTGCGTCCTATTCCAGACATCAGCAATTTCAGCTGAGCGGCTTTGACCCAGCTCCAACCTTTTTTTCCTTTCTAGGAACTGGGATTGAGCGGTTTATCCCTTAATGTAACGATTTAGCCGGGGTTAGTTTCGGGGGGTTTGCGCCGCGCTTTGTTTTCAGCAATCGTTCGCCATGCATCCTTCTGGCCATCATTGGATCACAGCTAACGTTAGGCGCAGTAATCACTAACATATGTACGGAGTAATGGATATAACGTAGCTGTAGGTGGGAAAGATTGATCCTTCTATTATTATGGGAGCAGCTAGCTACGTTATAACGTGACTCACCACCCAACAAACTCATCCACCCAACGAACTCCAAAAAGCACTCTATAGAGCTGTTAATTTTCAACCATAGCACAACAATGCAATAAGATATTAATATTAATTATCAAAGATTAAAACTATATACAGAATACATCATATAAATATATATGATTAATTCAGAGAACAGTTGCTTGACCTAATAATTCACCTGGAATGTGAAACTCATGATTTTGAAATGATTGAATCAGATCACAGTGTAGAAGATGTCAGAGAAGAAATATCATTTGATTTCATCAGAGAGATCTGTATGTGATACTTATTACTGCTTTCAGAGAATTGTATAGAGCTTCTACAGTGTTTTGAGCTCACTGTTAATCTTCTTATAGATCTCTTTGAGATCTCTATGAATATCTACTTTACTATGCTTTATAATATTTAGCAGTATATTCTTTCTTCTCTTTTTACAGTTAAAGCTTTCATTCATCTCACTATTACTTCTCTATAAGATGTTTAGCTGCAGCTGCAGCTTTGATCTTCTCACAGTATTAAGCAGTTTCTAATCATTTCTTCTGTGGCGGGCTGCGCCCGATCAATCATATAGACTATTCTGTTACACTCCATAGATTCTTCCGCTCCATTCTCAAACGCGTACACTCTGATTCTCAATCCTCGGCTGCCATGAACATGTATAGATTCTTCCGCCCTGAAGCTTCACTGTGTACATCACTATATATATGTATAAATATTCACTCTGATCATCAATTCTCACACTTTCTCTTTCTTTCCTTCTCTAATGTTTTTCTCTTTGTTATATAAGACCTATAATATTATACTGATCTATTCAGTGTAGGCCTCTTAGACTGGCCGCCGGGACCATGAATTTCACATTTGATCTCATTTGATCTAGTCTTATACATTTCTTGGCGTGAGTCTCACCAGAACCAAGTCTTAAAAAAATCTGAAAATGAACCATTTCTGAGAGAAATGATGTGAAAAATGACTAGATTTAATTCAAGAATAGTGAAATGAGAGTAATTTCTCAGAATAAACTATGAAAGATAATCATTCTTTTAAAATCAGAATAAGACTGAAACTGAAAATTAAATTCAGTCTTATTCAGTTTATTCAGTAATTGCTTATATAATCAGAATTTAGTAATAATTATTGATAATACTTATGAAACAACTAAATACATTCTTATATAAGTTTATTCTTTACTTTCTTATGAAAACTACACTTCTCTGATATACTGTGATCAGAGATATTAAACTATCTGATAATTTTATATTTTATAATTATAAGTTTCTTGATTATTTCTTCTTATAATTGTTCTCAGTAATAGTAATAAATATTTTAACTTAAGTTAAACTTTTACTTCATTCTTATCTCTGTTAATAAAATTATCAGAATATTATATATTATCAGTATAATAGTTGAATATATACTCTCAATAATTTTTTATAACTCTAGAATTGATTTAATGTATAAATTTATTAAATTATCTTAAAAATAGTGATTAAATTTAGTTTTATAAGTATATAGTTTTATCTGATTTTCAGTTATAATTAATATATATAAGTTCTGTTTTAAAGTTAGTATTATAGTTCTATATAATATAAAGTGTTATTAAAGATTATTACTTACTAGAGAATTATATTTTACTGTCTTTATATCTCTAATATCTACTTATTCAAATCTCTGATAGTTAGTATTATAGTAGTCTCAGATTAATTTAATATATAAGTCTCATTTCTTCTCTATTCAATCTTGAGAAGTGTAGATATTAACTTAATAAAAGAAATCTAGTAAAGCTGCTATAGTATAATACTCTGTAAAAGATTATTCAGTTTTACTGTAGTAATATATCAGTTTATTTCTTACAGTAATAATAGTCTGTACTATAGTATTATTTCAGACTGAATTTCTTTTTAAGTGATTTAACTGCTTCTTAAGATAAGTAAATAAACTATTATATACTTATCAGACTGACTGCAGTATTAGTGTATAAGTGATTAAGACTGTCTTTATTATCTTATAAAACTGAAACAGTAAATTAATTACATATTTCAACTGAGTTTACTTTATATTAGAAAGTTTCAATATCTGAATCTTTTTCTAATCAGAGTATTATATTCAATGATTAATTATCTGATATAATCAAAGAGTTTAATATTGATGATTACTACACCTACTCTAGTCACGTGTCATCTCAATCTATTCATTTAGTGTAACTCGCGTAGTTAGATTACAATATAACATAACAACATTATTCTTCAAGAGATTATAAAGCTCTTCGCAAGCAATAAATAACTGTAATAATATGCCAACTACGTCTTCACATATTATTACATATGTCTAGATGTCTTTTATTAATTAATTGAACTCATGGTGAATCTGAGATTAAGTGAAAAGCCTGACTTAACAAAGAATTACATGCTAATGCATAGAAGAAGAAATTCACAAACATCTGAAGTATAAGAAGAATTGAGTGTGAGTTTATCAACATCTGCAATGAATTGAAAAGTAACTGTCTCAGAAGCATTTGAGCTGAATGAAATCATTACAGAGAAACAGTCTGACAAGTTCAATAAATACAAAAACTCAGTTGAAGATATCAGTGAGATATCAGACAATGTAGAGAGCTCAAGTGACTGAAATAACAATAGCTCAATGAGTAAGAAGACTTGTATGAGGCTTGAAATTGCAAGACTTCAGTATGAGATTGAGTATATGAAGATCAGTAGAAGTAAGACTCTTGCAAGTAATGAGATGAAAGTGAATCTGGCAGAATATCTTCAATAAAAAGAGAAGACATCTGTTATAATAAAAGTTCTTAAAGAATTCAGAAGCTAAGTAAGACTTATCAAAAGATCAATAGTTCTCACTGAATTCATTAACTACTCAATATAAAGAGAGGAAATTCTTTTGACTGCAGAGCAGTCTGAAACTGATGATATTCTTGAAGATAATAATCTTGATGAGAATGTCACTATGAATATATAACATTTCTGAAAAGAATGCAATCTTTGATTATATAATTACATATAATCTGCAATTGCTCTGCAGATCAAGGCTTATTTCACTATACTTAAGAAGTTCAAATTATCAGCTTATACTCTATGAACTATTATAGAGAATAACTTTTTCAAGAGACCTGCTGTACACAGAACTCATTTATTTAAAGAGCTTATTAAAATAATCTTCAAAAGTAAAGAATCTGACAGAGCTTTCATTGAATGTCTGATTGTTATAAGAACTGATTATATCTGTCTAGAATATAAGATTCTGAATGTCATGTTTTTCAACAGACTACTTACAGAAGTCAACAGAGATTGAGCCTCATTTATAAGAAATTAAATGAATCAAATTGATAAAGATAATACTCAACCCTTAGAGAATGATTTTATAAGCCTGTGTCACAATATTCTTTTACAGCTCTCTGCTGCAAATGAAGTAAATACTGATGTGTCTAGAAATTCTACCAACAACACACAAGATAAGAATAAGAAAGACAAGGACAAAGAGAAAGACAATAACAAGAACAAGAACACTGAATTCAAACCTGAACATAGAGATAATGACGCGAGGACCTGCTATCATTGTCAAAAGATTAGTCATATTCAGACTGACTGTTGAAAGAAATACTCTGAGAAACATTCTTTGAACTTTAATATGAATAGAAACAAGAATAAAGACAAGAATGCAGAGAATACAGATGCTGCTTCTGTTTACAATGTTATAAAGCAAGTATTTTGCATCAAAGAAAAGGCCTATACAAGTAGTCAGACAGGAAAAGATACCTGAATTCTAGACTCTGAATCAGGTGCTCACATCACACCTCACAGAGATCTTGTCATAGCAAAACCTCAGAAGATGAAAGTGATATTGAAAATAGCAGACAGAACAGTGATCTCTGCTACAGCTATAGAAGATATGAAGATTTCAGTGAAAGAGATGAATATGCTGTTAAATGATATCTGCTATGTCTCAAAGTTAGAAGTGAATCTCATGAGTATGAGTAAGCTTGTATATCAGAGTTATATCTATAAGCAGTTGATATATGAGAATAATTATACTATGTTGATTATGTCTTCTGATCACATGTTCTCATTTACAGCAAGACTAAATGAGA